TTATACGGCTTAAGATATATTCGATGTTTAAATAAGATCCAGATTTCAACAGCAACATTCATCGAAATAATGCAAATATGGATGAAGAAATGTTTTTATTTATTAATTCTGTACCGCATGATATATTTTAAACAACAATTCAGAAAATTCCTTCCAAATTATGCGTTATGCAATTTATTACTCCTTTCCTTTCTTTTTCGAGATTTTATTACGAAAATAATTTAATAATTTAATTATTATTCTGTAATTTTCGATTGTGTGCAACATTTGCATAATAGAAAGTTAATTATATTAATTTACACAATATTTTAATTATTATGATTTTATGAAATTATTTTCGTTTACGAAATGAAAGAAAAATCATTGCAATGTGAAGATAATTATCTGGAGAAAAGAATTTCTCCAGACAACCTAGAATTATTGTGAGAGATATAATTAAAGAAAGTAACTTTTCATCAAAGAGAGATAATTATCTGTTCTTCTTTGAAATATTTTGACTTGAAAATTCTATTATCATTTAATATAAAGAGAACATAATTGTATCAGAAACAGAGTATGTGCTGCATAAGCAGACAGCTGTGCAATGAGAATCACGATGAACTCAAGATAAAGATCGTAGTCTTCCGTTCTTTCGAGCATGACAGCGGACGTCGCATTACTGCATATTAGATCCCATTGTTCCTTAAAGTTAGATGTCAAGGGCGCATATTTGAAAAAAAACATTCATACACTAAACTTTCCCCGACAAATTGTTGTACAAATGTACATATATTACTTACATACATAAAATTATTATCTTTTAATGTTAAATTATATATCTTTTAATGTACTAATTATAATATAATAAGACCTGTAACAGGATTAACGTGTGAAATGACTAATTATTTCCCGCCCGACTTAAACCGATCTGAAGAATTATAGCAACGGTATCTCATATATATTTTTCTTACAATTGGAGAAATCTACTCTTCTTTACAAGACGAATATCATCTTAGTGCGCGCGATTCCGTTGCTCGCGATCGACTTTCTCAGGATCGCACGCGAGCGCGCGTTCAAGTCGAGCGTGAAAGAAAACAGCCCGGAACTCGAGAAGCAATGGAACGGTCGATCGAATTAAATTGCGATAAGTGATGTAAGCATGCGTGTAATGCGAGAGATTGGCGAATTTTGCAGCCGTTGAAAGACCGATATCTTTGGGGCAATTCACTGCAAGGGCACGACCGGAAGTAGTTCGTTTCCCACGTTTTGTTGGCGAAGGAGAATCGCTTCTCGCTAGGGGAAAACGTGTGCACCTCGAAAATCGCCGTCTGTACCGGTAATTATGGTACTTCGCTGTAGCGAGAAGGCAATTAAACTCGCCAGAGCGAAATAAGCGAAGGAAGAACAAGACAGTCGTCCTCACGTCCTTATACACGCTGACTCGTCCTTACTCGTGCGACTTGTCTTCCAGGTTGAGTTAAAGGCTGCGCAAGGAACAAGAAGAAGCCCAGGCGAGATTACTTTCAGTCGCGATGTCATCGTAATTATTATCATCCTTTGCTTTTCTCGATTTCGATATTTTACTGAGCTTGTAGCAAATTACCTCGAAGTAATTACTTGAAGTAAATAAATGACTTTCCATTCGTTCTAATGGAATGGAAAAATTATCTGCATTTAATGTATATATAATGATTTAATAAACTTATTTTAGCGATAATCTTCGATCTTAAGTGCTTTACGGATTCAAAACAATTTTTTCTTGACAAAAAATTTAAATATAAATAAAACCCCTATTTGCTTAAAGCAGGCAGGTTTGAGGCCTAATAATATCTTTGTGTGAATTTTACAATTTCTTTAAAGTAAACTTGATGAGCGTCCATTATTTCAGTTTTAAAACAAAGTTATTCGGTCTTAGATTGAAATTGAAATATGTGATACTACAAATAAAATTAATTAAAAAAATTTAAGATCGATATATTTTTCTTTAGATGGATCCTAGTGAATCGATGTGTTAAATTCGTGAAGGATTCGCGAAGATAGACAATCATGAGACACTTAAGAAGAGAAAAGCACAGACCGCAAAATCGCGCGGATTAAGTGCGTGTCGCCATGGCGAGGTGGAAATGGATGCTGTTGATCTTGACGACCATCTGGACGCTGGGCGATGGCTACTTGACGGTATTACCATCCAGCACGCCCGTTGGCACTGTCGTCTTCGAGGCAGGAGTGCCACAGCTGGGCGGTCGTCGCAAGTACGAGGCGTCCAGTGAGCGCACCGCTTGGTTTGCTCGGAAACTCCTCAAAGTCCATCCGCATACAGGCCGCGTAACTCTGGCAAAGATGCTCAGCTGTGAAGGCCTCCAGTATCCGCGTGTTTTCACCTTCTACGTCGATTCGACGAGCTCCCGCCTCGGTAGACCCACTATCGATTACTATAGTTTACCATTAAGGATCCTGATTACCGGATGTGGCGGGGAGAATCACGATCTTGCGGCCACCAGGGGTTGGATGGCGGAGACTCTGGCCTCTTACGCGATGCCCAGCACCGACAGGTTGGAAATCGACTGTTAGATGTAGAAAAATATTAATGAATGTAGATACTGACTCGCAATATCGGAATTTAATTTATTTGACGAAATATAGATGTAGACAATTCTGTACACAAAATATAAATAGACTCTTTATAGTAAAAAAAGATACTGTTCTGAAAAAACAGTCAGAATGGTCAGAATGGTACATTAATCCAGGTGTAAATTAACTTAGCTTAAACAATTTAGATTCGTTTTTACCAATAAACTTTAATTTTAATCTCGGTTTAATTAACTCTTCATCTTTTTCCAGTTCTGAGAATTAGAAAAAGATAAAGAGTAACTTGAATTGAGTATTGAATAAGTTGAACTGAGATTAAAATTAATCTATATTGGTAAAAACGGGCTTTAGATTGTTATATTTAACTAATTTAAAGTAAATTAAAAAAAAATATTTAATGCTTAGCTTCGCAAAAATAAAAATTCATAGCTAAAGATCCAATTACATCGATAGGTTTACCGAGGTATGCCTACGGACGTCTCAACTGGTGGCAGCTCTCCGTGATTTTCTACCTCAGACGACATTAAAGGAATGCGAAACGAGATGGGGTGGAGTGGCAGACCCCAGGTTCCTCGTGGAAGGTGCCGCTGGGGACCTGGTTTCTGCAACCGAGCAATGCCTGGTCGATCCATTATGGAAAGTTTCAGTTAGCATGAATTTGCGCTGCACTGGCGACTCACGTCTGACAGATGCCGAGCATCGGTTGAAGATTGTGTTTCATCACCATCAGCTGGATGATACTGATCTTGGTAGGAGGGTGAGACGAGAGCTCAAGAATCAATCGCCGTATTTCGAGCAACATCTCTATCTCGCCGCGGTGGAAGAGGAAAAAGAGCCGGGAATGTATGTGACTTCAGTGAAAGCTAGAGATCCCGAGAACGGCGCTGTACGATATTCAATGAGTTCCTTGGTAGATGCGAGATCGCAAGCATTATTAGCTCTTGATCCAGTAACTGGAAGAGTGACAACCCGTGCCAGATTGGATAGGGAAAATGTCGACGTGCACTATTTTCGGGTGCGTATCAAATTCTGAAGTAAAAAGAAAAAAATTAGAAACATAAGTGTTGCTCTAACGATAAGAATAAATTTAATAAAAAAAAAAATCATTACTTAAGAGACGTACATCTCTCTTCTGTTTAAAAGCAATTTATTAACGCTGTAACATATAATTAAAACAAAAAAATAAAAGTTCTAATCAAAATAGCATTTAATTACAAACATGGATTATTTGCCAAATAGGTGTTGGCGGTGGATGATTCGTTTCCTCCGCGCACCGGCACAACGACTCTTCAAGTTAATGTATTGGATGCAAATGATCATACGCCCAGCTTTGAGGGACCGGAATACGACGCGTCAATACGTGAAGGTGTTCCCGTAGGTTCCACGGTGATTACGGTTAAGGCTACTGATCAAGATACTGGAAGAAATGCCGAAGTGGAGTACTCTATCGTCTCTATCACGGCAGGGAGTAGCATCACGCATATGGAGGATGCAGCGACTTTCAGAATCGATCCAAGGTTGATATTACAAATATCATGTATTCCGGCATATTTGAAGAAAACTTTTTTGACATCCGAAACTCATCATCTTAATATTTAGGAAGTTCTTTTTTTTATTCATGAATAAAAAGGATTTCAATCTTTTTCTATTACATGAATTATAGATTATCTCTTCTTTATGTTTTAATACTATCAATGACACGAATAAACGTAGAATTTTTATTTTCTTTCTTTCTTTGTTTCTTCTTAACTTAGTTTTTCTTGTTTAGAAGATCTTATGATAAAATTGTTTATATGATCAATGAAATATAATTTCATACAATTCTTATATTCACAATACAAATCTTTGTATATCTCAGATCCGGCGTAGTTACTACGCGAACTCCTCTCGATCGCGAGCAAACCGAGATTTACACGGTAGTGCTCAGTGTTACGGATCAAGCGACATCACCTTCGACGCGACGTAGTTCAAACGCGACTCTAGTGGTACGTGTGCTGGACGACAACGACAATTACCCACAGTTCACCGAGCGCACATATTCGGCGACTGTGCCAGAGGACTTGGACTACACGACTAATCCAGTGATAGCCCGTATCAGGGCGATGGACGCGGATGCTGGCGCCAACGCTGCTGTCCGCTACGCTATCATCGGCGGCAACACACAGAATACCTTCTCAATCGATTCAATGAATGGTGATGTAGCCCTAGTTAAGCCACTCGACTACGAGTCCACTAGGAGCTACAAGATTGTCATTCGCGCTCAGGACGGTGGCTCGCCCGCGCGTTCTAACACTACTCAGCTGCTGGTGATGGTCAGGGATGTAAATGACAACGCGCCAAGATTCTATACCAGTCATTTCCAAGAATCGGTGTCGGAAAGCGTACCAATGGGATATTCGATCCTGAGAGTACAAGCGTATGATGCCGACGAGGGTAATAACGCACTCATCAAGTACACTATTGGTGCGCGCGATTTCACCGGCGCCTCCACAGAGAACTTCCCCATCACTGTGAAAGCAGAAACTGGTTGGATTTACACGACGAAGCAATTAGATCGTGAACAATGCTCAAAGTATATTAATCTTTTTTATCGATTTTTAAACCATCATTTAATTGAAGTTGGAATAATTGAAACATAAATCAATGCGGATAAAAATTGTACTAAACATTTAAAAATAATGTTTGAAGAAATATATATAAAATAATTTTTCCTCCATTCAATACATAAAATTTTACTTAAAAAAAACTTACTTCAGATTCTTTAGCAAATCCTTTGACAAAAGATTCTCGTTTTGATTTTAGGTACCAATTTACCGTAATTGCGGCGGATTCAGGAGAGGAACCAAAATCCGCGAGCGCGACAGTGTTTCTCACAGTGACCGATGTGAACGATAATGATCCTTATTTCGAGCCAAAAACCTACGAGGCTGTAGTATCCGAAGATAGTCTGGCAGGCACCCCAGTCACTACGGTGACCGCCACCGATCCGGATGAAGATTCCAGAATCCATTACGAAATCACGGGCGGTAACACGCGCGGACGTTTCTCTATCTCTTCGCAAAACGGACGTGGCCTTATAACTATCGCCCAGACACTCGATTATAAGCAGGAGAAGCGGTTTGTATTAACAGTGACTGCGTCGGATACAGGTAGCCGTACTGATACCGCCTTGGTTTATGTCAACGTGTCGGACGCCAACAATTATTCTCCAGAATTCGAAAACGCACCTTACTCAGTGTCGGTATTCGAGGACGCGCCGATTGGCGTAACAGTCCTGGTAGTGAGTGCTACTGATGCCGACGTCGGCAAGAACGCCCAGATCACATACAGTCTAGCGATTGACAATGGCGAACAGGTGATCACCGAATTCACCATCAATCCACAAACTGGAGCGATTACGACGACAAAGGCGCTCGATCGCGAGTCGGTACCCTCGTACCTGTTGACAGTGACCGCCCGGGACGGTGGAGTGCCATCGCTGTCGGATACTACCGATGTGGAGATCTCCGTCACGGACGTAAATGACAACGCGCCAGTCTTTGAAGCGCCACAATATCACGGTTCGATTCTCGAAGATGTTTTGCTAAGCACTAGCGTGCTGAGAGTCGCGGCAACCGATGCAGATACCGATCTCAATGGCCGAGTAAGTGTAGCTCTCTCCAACAAAAAATGATGCTATGATAATTTGAATGAGAAATATCGTATATTAATTGGTTTGCTTATATAAATACAAATTTTAATAATTAATAGAAATATTAATAGAAATAATAAATTAAAAGAAATATTAAACAGAAATATATATCTTGAATTTGTAATATAATCAATAAATTACTAAGTTAGTATTTTTTATCGATCAAAACTATTTTTATCAATTTTTTTTAAACAACAATTATAAATATAAGCATAATAAATAGTAGAAAGTTTTTAATACAACTTTTAAAATTCTTTTCACAACTTTCTAATGAAGTCAATATATACCTGGTCCAGGTAAGGTACGGTTTAGAGGATGACGGCGATGGAGCGTTCACGATTGATTCTACGACAGGTATTATCAGGACCGCGAAAATATTGGACCGAGAATCAGTGGCATATTATACTTTAAAGGCCGTCGCCACAGATCGCGGTTCACCTGCACTTTCGTCTGTCGTTCCTGTTACTATCAAGATTGAGGACATCAATGACTCACCACCCGCTTTTGAGAATGACAAGATCATTCTTTATATCACTGAGAATTCCCCAATTGGTTCAACTGTCGGTGAAATCTATGCCCACGATCCAGACGAGGGTCCTAACGCAGTGGTGCAGTACAGTATCATCGGTGGTGAGGATTCCAATAGCTTCAGCTTGAATATTCGTCAAGGCGCCGATCGCGCCGAATTAATTACCCTCGAGGAACTTGACTACGAATCACCGAAGAAGAAATTTGAACTTGTGGTGCGAGCCGCGTCACCGCCGCTACGTTCGGATGCGGTGGTACAGATCCTAGTGACCGATGTGAATGACAACGCACCGGTGCTTAAGGACTTTCAAATAATTTTCAATAATTTCAAGGACTTCTTTCCAACTATACCAATTGGTCGGATACCAGCAATGGATGCTGATGTAACGGACAATCTTGTCTACAGCATCCTCGCCGGTAACAATGCGAATTTGATCGATCTCAATAGAACCTCTGGCGAGATCCGATTGTCGCCACAGCTCAATACTAACGTGCCGCGAGTAGCGACTATGGAAGTCGCCGTGACAGACGGTATCAATGAGGCAAAGGCTACAATGACGTTGTCAGTACGTCTGATTACTGACGAGATGCTGCTGAACTCAATTACAGTAAGACTGGATGATATGACGGTGGAAGCATTTCTTAGTCCTCTTCTGGGTTACTTTCTGGATGGCTTGGCGGCTATCATTCCATGTCCGCGGGAGAACATCTTTCTCTTTAGTGTTCAGGAAGATGCAAACGTGCAGAGCAAGATTTTGAACGTGAGCTTCTCGGCACGCAAAGTCGAGCCAGGCACGGTTGACGAGTTTTACAGTCCACAATTTCTTCAGGAACGAGTATATCTCAACCGCGGTATTCTGGCGAGATTGGCAACAGTCACTGTTCTACCGTTCGACGATAATCTCTGCGTTCGTGAACCTTGCCTGAATTTTGAAAAGTGCCTAACGGTGCTCAAGTTTGGCAACGCATCTGGTTTTGCCAGCAGCGACACAGTTCTCTTTCGACCCATATATCCAGTGACTACATTCGCGTGCAGATGCGCCCGTGGCTTTACTGGTAGTCGCGAGGCTTACATGTGCGACACCGAAGTGAATTTATGCTACTCGAATCCTTGCATGAATGGCGGCATCTGCCACAGGCGAGAGGGTGGATATTCATGCATCTGCCAACCGGATTTCACCGGCGTAAATTGTGAGATCTCAATGAACCGCGACGCTTGCTCACCCGGCATCTGCAAAGGTGATTCTCAATGCACCGTGAAAAATACTGCTGGCTTTACCTGTGAAGGTTGCCCTGTGTCTGCTCTGGAAAGCGTAACACCTTTCTGCGAGTTGAAAGCTCGCAGTTTCAGTCCGGCGACATTCCTCACTTTCGCTTCTCTCAAGCAACGTCATCGTCTTCATCTTAGACTGAAATTTGCTACCGAGTTGGCTGATGGTCTGCTACTCTACAACGGCAGATACAATGAACGCCATGACTTTATTGCCCTGGAAATCGTGGATTCACGCGTGCAGTTTAGCTTTTCCCTCGGTGATGAAGTAACAAGAGCAATGGCGACCATTCCTGGCGGTGTCTCAGACGGTCAGTGGCACGAGGTTGTGGTCTCGTACATCAATCGAACAGTGACAGTGTCTCTAGACGATTGTGACGTCGCGCTCGCTTTAAAATACGGCGAGAAACGATTGGGTCCTAAATGGACCTGCGCTGGTAGAAGTGAAAGAGTTCTCGAAGAACGTTGCGGACTTGTTACCGAAACCTGCCACAGGTTTCTGGACTTGACTGGACCATTACAGTTAGGTGGTCTGCCAGCAATCCCATCCAGCTTCCAAATCCGCAACAAAGATTATGTTGGATGCATTAGTGATCTTTACATCGATCACGTTTTCATTGACTTGAATTCATTCGTAGCCGACAATGGAACGAATGCGGGTTGCCCCGAAAAAACTGCCTTCTGCGCCTCGTCGCCTTGCAGGAACAATGGTAAATGCCGTGAGATCTGGTCAGGTTTCGTTTGCGAATGCGAACATAACTTTGCCGGGCCTACTTGCGCCGAAGAAATTGGCGCACCGTATAGCTTTCACAGCAATGGCATGCTCGGCTTCAATCCGTTACTGCGACCTATTCAATTACCGTGGATGACGGCACTGAGTCTCCGCACTCGCGCACAACTAGCATTTGTCATGAGCGTGCAGATCGGCCAGAATAGCTCGGTCTTGTTGGAAATCCGAAACGGCAAGCTGGTCGTCTCACTGGACGGTGCTGATGTAATCCGAACTAGCGGTACAGTTGCGGATGGCGAATGGCATCGCATGGAGATTGTCTGGCAAAGCGGTCACGTATCCCTAGACACAGATTATCGCGATCGACCTGTGACAGTGCCGCTACCAGCTAAGCTGCAGGGTTTGTACGTTGGCAGAATTCTTGTAGGTGGTCCAGACCAAGCGACCACTATCGATCTACCGTTCTTTGATGGCTGTCTGCAGGATATACGAATCGGCACCAACCAAAGCGTTCTTCAGCGTCCAACTATCCAAGAGAACGTCGACGCTGGTTGTCCATCTCAAACCTATTGCAACACGGAATGTCCACAGGCATCAATCTGCATAGCGCAGTGGCGATCGAGCGAATGTGTGTGTGCGGCTGGCCATATAGGTAATAATTGCGAACGCATTTGCAATCTCGAACCCTGCAGCGATGCCGGTACCTGCGTCGAAGATACGACCGACGTACGGCGTGGGTATCAATGTAAATGCGCTTCTTCTGATATATCCGGAGAGTACTGCGAGATGAAAAGTGAACAACCCTGTCCGGCGACATGGTGGGGCTCTCCAATTTGCGGGCCCTGCCACTGTGATGAGACCAAGGGCTATGATCCCGCTTGTAACAAGACCACCGGCGAATGCCACTGCAAGGAGAACCACTACCAGCCGAACGGGCGGAAAGAGTGCACACCGTGCGAGTGCTACACAACTGGCAGTTTCGGTCCTCGTTGCGACAGTGAGACTGGTCAATGCCGTTGTCGAACGGGAGTGATCGGTCGTTCATGCACCGATTGCCCAAATTCTTATGCTGAGGTAAAAGAATAGAGAGAAATGTAAAATATATTTTAGCTAACATTTTCTTAAAAATTTAAATACTGTGAATATCTTTAAATTTTTTAAATAAATCTTTTAAAATAAAATCATTTTAATTTAAGAAGACCATCGCTTTTAATGATGTTAATTAAAATATTAATATTTTTTAATATATTAGGTGACTCTGAGAGGTTGTGAGGTAGTCTACGATGGCTGTCCCAGATCGTATTCGGATGATCTGTGGTGGCCGCGGACTCTTTTTGGACTGACAGCCATTGAAGACTGTCCCGGCACCGCCGAGGGCAAAACTTCCAGATCTTGCGACGACAAGTTAGGCGGTTGGCAACCGCCCGATCTCTTTAATTGCACTTCGGAGGTCTTCATCGAACATCGACACCAGCTAGCAGCTCTGGAAACCAAGGATCTCACGCTAAACACTTACGTAGCCGTGAAAATGGCAAAAGATGTTCACAGAGCGGTGAATATTACGAGAGAAATGTACGGAGCAGATCTTCTGGTGACGGAATCTTTGCTAGTGGCGTTGTTACGTTATGAAGAAAGTCTAGTAGGTCTAAACTTGACTCACAGTCAAGACAAGGATTACGTCGTTCATTTGATCGGTATAGCCGGAGCAATTCTAAGATCCAAATACAAGGAAAAATGGGACAAGATAGGAGAACTTAACGGAGATAGTCCCGATAAGATTCTGGATGCTATGGCGAGATACTTGAAGACTTTAACGGCATCTCAACATGATACTTTTACCAATCCCTTTGAAGTAGTCAATGATAATGTTGGTATGTATATGTGAGATCATTTATCTTCCTTCCAATTTAATTACTTTAATTAATGAAACGATTTATTTTAAAAACTTATAAATTATTTAATATTATAAATTATTTAATATTTTTAGGTATTTTATTATTTTTAGATATTTGTTGTTACTTCTCTAAAAAATTGAAATTAAAACAAATTTTTTTTATTTATGAATAAGTTTTGTGCGCGACAATACATGTGACAATGTTTACATTTAATTAAATAATAATATAAAAACAAATTTTAAAATTTCCGCTGAAGTATAACTCACTTCATATCATGCAAAGAAATTAATTTTTAATATTTATTTTAATTTTATTATTAAATTATATGCGTCATATTTTAGTGCTGGGTCTAGACATCGTAACATCGGAGAGTCTCTTCGGCTATGAGACAATTGAGTATAAGGAAGATCCTACTGTATCAACAGCAAGACCCGCGGAAGCTGATCGGAAAGTCATTCTACCTGATACCTCTACTTTTCTAAGCTCTTCAGCGCATTTTGGTCCATCTATTAGCTTCCCAAAGTACAACAATTACATGGCTGATCCAAGCAGATTCGATCCACACTCAAAGATCCAGGTGCCACTCAACACATTAGGTATCAAACCTGTTATACAGGGTGAACTAAATGTGAAGAACAGTCTGAACAATCGAAAGGCTGTACTGAGTTACGTGCAATACAAAGAACTTGGTGCTCTTTTGCCACAAAGGTATATTATATTATTCAATTATTGTATAAATTTCTTGTTACTTTAATATGATAAGAATTTATTATTTATTTTTATTAAACTTTATATGCAAAAATGGGAATAAAAGGATGGCTTATCTGGCTAGTTACTTTTAATGTTAATGTTTGAATTATAGATTTGATGATTCAGTATCAGTTAGATGGGGAGTAGAAGTAGCAGTTGGATCGCCCGTAATGACTGTCTCGGTGTTAGTTCCCTCGGATGACGGGTACGAGTCCTTAACAGGAATTCCTTTGCAGTCTCCGATTCAAGTCAGACTTTGGCTTCATGAAAATGATGATTTCAAGACCAGAACAAATCCGCAATGCGTTCATTGGAGCACGGCGAGAGGGTAAGAAAAGTTAATTAACTTTTCACAAATTAAGAAATTTCAATTCTATGAAAAATTAATTTTATTTGACAATTGATAAATTTAATCACAATTCATTTATATAAATTTGAATTTTATTCTTTAATTTCAATATAAAAATTTTATAATGTTTAGAAAATAATTTTACCTGATTAATTTCAGAATTGGTGAATGGAGTCGAATGGGCTGCACCACGGAAATTGAAGACAATTCCTTATCATTCGGTACTATTGTGAACTGCTCTTGTATGAAACTGTCCACTTTTGCCATACTGACAGACGTCCTCGATCTTGAATATGTTCCCGAGCCATCTTTGTTAGAGGATGTGACCAGTTACAGCGCGTTTATGCTCGCCTTACCACTGCTATTATCTGCTCTCTTGATCCTAGCGTTAATTCGCGGCGGTGGTACCAACTCTAACAGTATTCACAAGAATTTGGTATTATGCGTTTTTATGGCGGAAATCCTATACCTAATCGCGCTCAAAGCCAGAAATCCTCTCGTCTCCAACGAATTCCCCTGCAAACTTACGGCGATAGGACTGCATTACGCTTGGTTGAGCACTTTTGCCTGGACCCTTGTAGACTCCGTTCATCTTTATCGGATGCTGACAGAAATGAGAGATGTGAACCACGGCCAGATGAGATTTTATTACACTATGGGATACGGTCTGCCGGCTGTCATCGTTGGACTTACTATCGGAGTCAGGGCCGATCAGTACGGAAATTTCTATTTGTAAGTTGAGTTTAACGATTTATTTTTTAAATAATTTTTTCCAATTTTTTTTATTTTTGAAATTTCAAAATCCAGCACCTACTATTATAACATAAAACATTTTATTAGTTTATCATTAAATAATAACATCTTTATAATAACAGCTTTATAAAATTGAAGATTAAAATTAAAACTTAAAATGAGATGATATAATTCTATGGCGATAATCCATTCGCGACTTATTAAAATTACTAAAATATAATTATTATAGTATAATAGAATACAATTTTTAGAATTAGAACATAATTTTGAACTTTTAAATGGAATTTTTTATTACAAAAATTTTTACTTGATTTTTCAGCTGCTGGTTGTCCATCTATGAAACCGTGATTTGGTCGCTCATAGGTCCCGTTTGTGCTGCCGTGTTGGTGAACTTCTGCATTCTCGTAATGTGTATCCGCGCAGCGTTTACTTTGAAGGAGCACATCATGGGTTTTGGAAATTTACGAACGCTCTTATGGCTCTCTGTGGCCTCATTACCTTTACTAGGATCAACATGGACTTTGGCGGTCCTCAATGCGTCAGAGAACTCACCGATGCTATCGTATTTACTGAGTGTTGCTATCGTAGTTCACGCAGCATTTAGTCTGATCGGCTACTGCTTCATCAATAGTAGAGTTAGGAGAAATTTGTATCAAAGTCTATTAAGGTGTATTGGTAAAAAAACGCCTTTGCTAGAAGGAAGTATGGGCAACGGAAGTAGCAGTCAAAATGTAAATGGCCATTCGGTAATGTAATTTAAAATTGTTCTCTTGCTACAAATATATGAATTAAATATGAATGCATTAATATTGATGTTTATATTTCAGCGTTCAGCACTAGCTTACTCCTCGACTTATAACGGAGCAGAATCCGTATGTAAGAGAGTTCATGTTGGCGTTTCTACAAGCAGCACAACTTCAAGAAGTACAAATAAAACAGGTTCAAGCCCTTATCGTAGCGATACGCATTTGAGACATACATCAACCTCTACAAGTAATTATAATAGCGATCGAGATCCATATCTATCATCGAGGAGTCATCGATCAGCACTACATTCTCGACAAGGTACAAATTTTTAAAAACAGCGGATGAAAAAATGTTTAACTATATATTAAAATTATTTTATTTGAATTAATTCATTACATAAATAAAATTAAGTTAATTTTGTGATATTGTATAATCTAGTTTCATATGATATTGTATAATCTGAAAGACTATGTTTCAACATAAATATAATCAGCGCACAAATTGTTTGAATTGGAAATTGTAAAAATTCACACATACTTGTATTATTATTCATTTATCACATAAAAGATCATCTCCAATCAAGACCCGCTTTGATCGAAAATCATCTTTTTTACTTACTTGTCTTTAAGTTAATGTTACACAATGTTTTTAAAAGAATCTACAGAGATAAGAGGTCAGCGCAGAGAATCAGAATCAGACTCCGATGGCTCGCAAGCCGAAGGAGGCGGCAGAAGCTTGGACCTTGCCAGTTCGCATAGTTCCGACGAGGATGATGTCACGTCGAGGTCGCACAGAAACATGGGAGTGTCTACACAGCAGCACGTCACTCACAGCTATCTGCCTAATATTCATACTAATCCTGCCGAACACTTGAACATACTTTGCTCGAATGCTGAACTCTTCCCCAACATCAAACCGATCTATGCCCCTCGATGGAGTTCTCAACTGCCAGAAGCATATCTATCATCAAATGGTAAGATTGGCAATCACAAGTTTAAATTAAGAACAAAAGGAAAAACGCGTAAAAGTCTTGAATCATAAAAAAAATAAGTGATTGTAAAAAGATATGAAATTAAGAAATGATAAAATTAAATTCCAATTAAAAGATTGAAATGTTTCTCATTTTGTAGTAGCACCACACAGTTATATAAATATAAAGGATTGTAATATGATTTTTGAGAAAAGTTAAAAATAATACTGTTCATTTCTTTTGCAGTAATGGATGTGCGAAGTAGCCAATGGTCTGGTGGCACCATGTCAGATAACGAGATTGCTTCGAACAAGACCTCGAGTCCGAACCCGCTGCCGTATCCAGAGATGAACTCACCGCAGAAGAATCAGCCGGATGAGAATTACTCGGAAGGTGAAGAGAAAATGCATCATCTGGGAGAAAAATATTTATTCCCTTATACTGCCGAGGAAGACCATACAGTATCACCCACACCGTACATGCTGTCCATGTCGTCACGCATCCTCGCCTCTAGCATGAGCCATCACTCACAGAATTCAAATCACGAAAATCTGAGTGGTTCCGAGCAGCGTTACGGCAGCTTGAAACGTGGTCAAAGTCTGCACGGCTCCCAGCACGACAACCTCAGCGGTTCTGAAAGATACGGTAGTCTGAAACGTGGCAAGATGGGCACCCCCACCGTTCTGGAGGATAGACCCGAGTATATCCTGCCGATGAGCGGCAGGATACTATCGAGTTCGTTGACCCATGACCTACAGCACAGTAACGAACTGGCAGCGCTCAGGCAGCAACAGCAGCAACAACAGCAATACGAACAGACTATTACCGAGACCGAGTGAGTAATAAACACACATTATATTTAGATTTTATTATTTTTAGATTTGGGATATTATTATTATATTTAGATTTGGGATATTTATTTTTTACTCGGATATCGGATGCCTTGTTAAATAATTTAAATAGAAAGTAAAAACTTAAATGAGTTTTTTATATACGATGGATTTGATGTCTGAATGAATCAAAGAATAATATAACAAAGAAAGAGATCGTTTTAAATTATTTTCATTGAGCTTTTTCTTTTTATATGTCTGTATATCATCTATATCGAAAATATAATATCTTCTTTTAAAAATGACATAAAAAATATTATTTCAATATGTAGAATCTTAAAGAGATTAACAGGAAAAAGATTTATGAGAAATTATAATTTAAAATGGAGTGAATGTGACTTAGAACGACTTGATTAATTAAAAATGGAGCCATAATGAAAGCTATTGTAATCAAAATTAACAAAGTTATAGAAATAATAAAACGTAGTCACATTGGATAAAAATAGAAACCTTTATATAAACGATTATTCAAAAAGTTGATTGCGTTCATTGACATATAAAACAATTTACAAAAAGACAATACAAGTACGTCACATCTAGCGTACGTAAAAAAAGGTTGGTGGCGAACTAACATACTTAAGTTACAGCGTTTCTTAGCGCAATTTCGTAACATTCTTTTTAATTCATTCTGGTTTTCTTTGGTTTCCCATATTTCTCCTTGCTGTATGCACAAAAGGTGGCGTTGGAACGTTCTCTAACATAACTATGTCTTTTCTGTGATCTGTGCTTGCCCTGACTGTCAAATTATCAGCGAGGAGGTAAGCGAACGTGACGATATATAATAAATCTATAAATCATCTTGCAAACCGCAACGATTATCTCTAATTTTCTCTCAGCGTCCAATTGAATCGGAATTAATCGCGAGTTGTCACTGTTGCAGGAAGGATACTAATGCGGAAACGCCCGTCTGACGAGGTCCGTGCCACGAACGAGAACAACGTACAAAGTAATTTAGTTTACGCCTAGTTTAAGTGTCCAACGCGCAATAAAGACTCGTCGATATATATATATATATATTTTAAGAAGCGGCCATGACTGTACTTACTTAGCCATATTAATTAGCGTGTATGTGTGAGTGCCTGTTTATATGTTGCATATGGAAAGTCTATCAGAGTAATCTTAAGAGATAATTCTTACATTAAAATATATTCCAATA